TTGACAAGACCACTAGTTTCAAGAAAAGGGCAAAGGGAAAGAAAGGGAACTTCAAGTAGAATGGCAAGCAAGTTGTCACTCCTGTGAAGAAGCCCAAAGCTGGACCAAAGCCTGAAAGTGAGTGCTTCTACTACAAAGGAAATGGTCACTGGAAGCGGAAATACCCTGAATATTTGGTGGATAAGTAGGATGGCAAAGTGAACAAAGGTATAGTTGATATACAGGTTATTGATGTGTACTTTACTAGTGTTTATAATAGCCCCTGAGTATTTGATACTTGTTCAGTTGCTAAAAATTAGTAACTCGAAACAGGAGTTACAGAATAAACAGAGACTAGTTGAGGGTGAAGTGACGATGTGTTTTGGAAGTAGTTCCAATATTGATATGATCATCATCGCACTCTCCCTATACTTTCAGGATTAGTGCTAAACCTAAATAAATGTTATTTGGCGTTTGCGTTGAGCATGAATATGATTTGATCATGTTTATTGCAATACGGTTATTCATTTAAAGTCAGAGAATAATTGTTGTTCTGTTTACATGAATAAAACCTTCTATGGCCATACACCCAATGTTGATGGTTTATTGGATCTTGATCATGGTGATACACATATTCATAATATTGATGCCAAAAGATGCAAAGTTGATAATGATAGTGCAACATATTTGTGGCACTGCTGTTTGGGTCATATAGGTGTAAAGCACATGAAGAAACTCCATAAAGATGGACTTTTGGAATCACTTGATTATGAATCATTTGATGCTTGCGAACCGTGCCTTTTGGGCAAGATGACTAAAACTTCGTTCTTCGGAAAAATGGAATGAGCTACTGACTTGTTGGAAATAATACATACCGATGTATGCGGTCCAATGAGTGTTGATGCTCATGGCGGGTATCGTTATTTTCTGACCTTCACAGATGATTTGAGCAGATATGAGTATATCTACTTAATGAAGCACAAGTCTAAAACATTTGAGAAGTTCAGAGAATTTCAGAGTGAAGTGGAGAATCATCGTAACAAGAAAATAAAGTTTCTACAATTTGATCGTAGAGGAGAATATTTGAGTTACGAGTTTGGCCTTCATTTAAAACAATGTGGAATAGTTTCACATCTCATGCCACATGGAACACCACAGTGAAATGGTGTGTCCGAATGTCGTAACCGCACTTTATTGGATATGGTGCGATCTATGATGTATCGTACTGATTTACCACTATCGTTTTGGGGTTATGCATTAGAGACAACTGCATTTACTTTAAATATGGCACCATCAAAATCTGTTGAGACGACGCCTTATGAACTGTGGTTTAGCAAGAAACCAAAGTTGTCATTTCTTAAAGTTTGGGGCTGCGATGCTTATGTGAAAAAGTTTCAACCTGATAAGTTCGAACCCAAATCGGAGAAGTGCGTCTTCATAGAATACCCAAAGGAAATTGTTGGGTACACCTTCTATCACAGATCCAAAGAAAAAATATTTGTTGCTAAGATGGATCCTTTCTAGAGAAGGAGTTTCTCTGGAAAGAAGTGAGTGGGAGGAAAGTAGAGCTTGATAAGGTAATTGTACCTTCGCCCGAATTGGAAAGTAGTTCGTCATAGAAATGAGCTCCAGTGATTCCTACACCAATTAGTGAGGAAGCTAATGATGATGATCATGAAACTTCAGATTAAGTTACTACAGAACATCGTAGGTCTTTGAGATCTATTATATACTGAGGCAAGGGGCACCCCATAGACAAAACAATTCATCCTTGAGATCTATTAGCCGTGTGCGGTGCCCCCCTCCACCATATTTCACCTCGATAATATCATAGCAGTGCTTAGGCGAAGCCCTGTGTCGGTAGAACATCATCATCGTCACCACGCCGTCGTGCTGACGGAACTCTCCCTCAAAGCTCGGCTGGATCGGAGTTCAAGGGACATCATCGAGATGAACGTGTGCCGAACTCGGAGGTGTCGTGCGTTCGATACTTGATCGGTCAGACCGTGAAGACGTACGACTACATCAACCGCGTTGTGCTAACGCTTCCGCTTTCGGTCTACGAGGATACGTGGACAACACTTTTCCCTCTCGTTGCTATGCATCACCATGATCCTGTGTGTGCGTAGGAAAATTTTGAAATTACTACGTTCCCCAACAAGCACGGCCCGTTTGGCCAGCTATAGGCACCAGCCACCACCCTTCCTCAAACTCTTCCACAATTTTTTTCACCACCACCATCCGTGGGAATCAGCCATGGATCCGAGTGCTCCTATACGCCGCTCGTTGCGGCAAGCAGTCGACACTTCGCACAGCATCAGCTCGCCTGGGCCGGCCCATGTTGCGGGAGCACCACGTCCGCGAGGTAAAAAAATCACAAAAAGGATTGCAGCCGCTGGGAACCCGCATCTTCCTATTGATGTATGCAGTGAGCTAGCCACTAGGACTAACTAGTTCTTATGCTAAATTGGCAACACAAACCTAAAAGAAACTAACAGTAGCGACAAAACTAAATATATCAGTTCGCTAAACTACAATGAACTAAAGTGTGAGTGAGGGATTGAACATGCTACCTTGCTCTAGGCAAACAAGCAGCTAGCCACTATAATTTCTGAGATTTCATGTCAAAAAAGGTGGCCCGGCATACATGAACTATAAGCCGCGAAAAAGACCGCAATTTTTTTTAAAAAATCAAATGTTACTTTCTGTTTGGAAAACATAAATATTTTTGATAATGCAACCATTTATAATTTGTGAACAAAATTTTAAAATTAGAACATTGTGTGAAAATGCAAACATTTTTTGGGGATAAAAAAGGAACAAAATTGAAAACAAGAACATTATTTAAAATTGTGAACAACTTTTGAAAAATGCGAACACTTTCAAATTTGTGAAAAGAAATTAGAACATTCTTTGGAATCTCAAACATTTAAAGAAAAGGGAAAAATAAATTGAAAACCAGAACATTTTGAAAATTTCTGAATATGTTTTAATTGTACTTGCGAACAATCTTGACAAAGACGACTAAATTTTGAAAATTTAAATAGTTTTTAATTTTTAACTAAATTTTAGAATCCCGAACATTTTATTGAATTTAGAGAACTAAGATTTGAAATCGAGAACAAAATTTGAACATGAACATTTTTTAAAGCACGAACATTCTTTTTATCTTGAGAACAAATTTTGAAACAGAGAATAAATTTGAAAGCGTGAATAATTTTTTAAAGCATGAACATTTTTTTTGAATATTGAGAACAAATTTGGAAGTGCGAATAATATTTTAAAGCACGAACATTTTTGGAATATTGAGAACAAATTTTGAAACGGAGAACAAAATTTAAAAATGCCAAACAAATTTGGAAGCACGTACAAAAAATTGAAATCTAGTACATTATATGAATTTCGAAAGTTTTGAACTTTTTTGTGTAACGAGAACAATTTTTGAATTTTGAGAACATTTTGTCGAAAACTGAACATTTTATGGAAACACAAACAAAATTTGAGTAGAAAGAAAAAAGGATAAAATAAAAAGAAAAATAAATTACATACCAAAGAAAGAGAACAAACACAAAAAACGAAAAAAGAAGAAAAGAAAAACGAAAAAAGAAACAGAAAAAAGAAACGAAAAGAGGAAGCAAAAAAGCTTCGCTAGCTGTTGGGCCGGCCCACTGCGTCGTTCGCTCCCGCACCCCTATGCGAAGCGTCGACATTACGACGCAGGCGAGCGCCGTATAGGATTTTCCCATGGATCCGTCCATCCAGGAGTATCTCCAGCGGCTTGACGCCAGCCTTGACGCCTACACCAACGCCATAGGTCCCTCGCCGAGAAACTGGGCGCCATGTCCAAAATCCACCACCGCCCGCCACCTCGCCGGAGAGCACAACCCGACGCGTCGTCGCCCGTCCCTAGTGTCTCCTACTCCATAGGCAAGGCCCAGGAGGTTGTCGAGGTCGTCCATGACGCGCTCCTTGCCTGCAGCGCAATGGCGCATGTCACCTGTTCGACGAAATGCTCGCACCAGGTCGCCACCACCGACAACGTCGACAAGGTCACCGCCGTCTACCACGAGTCTCATCGACCTCAATGACAAGTTCGGCGCCCTCAACATTCCTGTGATGGCCAGCATCAACCCGCCGCTCCACGTCCAAGTTCCGTCACCCAATTCCTTGGCCGACAGCACCCGCAACGTCGCTGTTGCAGGACCGGATGAGTACACACTCGTGGCGGCCACTCCGGATGTCGCCCTCGAGCTTGCCATCCTCTCAAGCGTCTCCTTCTCCACCAACAAGGTCCATGAGGTCCTTGTTGTTCCCCGCAGTGCGTCCCCTGTCTACATCGGCATGGCGCCTTCTGCCTGTTCGACGAAATGCTCCAACCAAGTTGATGCCACTTCGTTCCCGTATCCAGTCACGACGGCATCGCTACTCCCAGCAGCCACACATCACATGAGCTCGTCGCCGACCTCGTTTGTCCTGCTACCAAAGCTGTCAATTCGATGCAGCCGTTTCGGAAGCATGACTTGGACGTCTCGCCGCACACAAGCCACCAGGGCGTGCTGCCACGGCCGATGCCATGGCCATCGTTGCGGGCAACTCATATTGCAGAGGGAATGGAGACTCGACTAGCTACTGTAATTCGGGCTTGTAATCGACAGAGACATCTAGTTCCCTAACACGGAGGTAGTAGAAGACAGTACAAACAACAGCCGCATGCCGCTTGAGGGATCTGAGAAAGAACTAAAGCAGAAGCAAGCATTGGTATTCTTCTAGCAGATTTGCTGACTAAATCATTTTAGTAAGAACAATGCTGACAGAAACAAGCGTTGGCACACAGGAGTAGAAACGAGAAGCAGGCGGACACACAAATAATCAGATACCTAGTGACATCAGCCAACATAGAGATTTGCTGACATTACATGATACGACGATACACAAGTAGTTGCATATTTTTAGATCCATACAGTACTGGAAACACTGACTAAATGAGTTAGTCTGACGCCTATCATGTCGCCTGGGCATCATCAAAGTTCCTCATTTGCCCCCCTCGTGATCCACAGCTTGTCCCGAACAAGACGGGACCAAGCAACAGTGATCTCCAGCTTAGAGTCGCCGAGTTGACACTCATTTTGAGTTATATTGCAATCTCTTGCCTGTATGGATACCTGAGCAGCCATAGCCCCAGATCGCGAGTTGGCCTCTATGAGAACTTCAAGCGTTCCACACAATTCTACAGAGACAACATGCCTTGACAGATCAAGGTAACCCTGTGAACAACTTGTCATTGCTCCATCTTGAAGCACAACTTGCCGAAACGAGGGGCCAATCCTGTGTTCAGAATCAGGCAATTTGGCTCTTCTCCGAGGCAGAGAGGAGCAAACAACTCGGCCGCCATTTTTAAAAAGACTTGGTGTCTCTTCAGGAACACAGACACGGATACCCACGACAGTTGCCTGTACTGATTCATAAACTTCCTCTGAGCTTAACGCCATTGTGCAAAAGTCTCCTTCCAGAGGGATATATAGAGTACATATCCCAGAATAACTACCGCTGTAATAACAGAAAAAACTCATCAATGGTTTATCTTCAGACTTGGTTCTACCCTTCACTTTCAGCTCAATTTCCACATTAAGCGGTTCCCGACTCACAATTGCACGAGCGGGCCAGTCAGGTGCAAAAAAGGATCCTGCATTCACCATTCATTAATCAGTTTTGCTAAGGTAGCATTTTAGTGGGCAATTGCTTGATATGTGTCCTTAAATACATGCGTATTTCAAAATGCATATATTCATAACTAATCAGCAGACCAGGAAGGAAACAGAAAATAGAAAGATACTATACGGATCTCTTGAGTGAGTATTTGGCAGTTACTACTTCGACGGGAGAAGAGAATGTTGCGATTGTGATCCACGCTGTCTCTTGCAGCAACCACGCCGTACACTTCCAGTGGCCACTTCAAGCCAGAACCATCTTCTATTTTTGCGACTTTGAGGGAGCAGATCTGCAAAGTGCTATCGACGAGAGCAGCCAATGGGCGTTGTCCTGGTGTAATGTGTGTATAGTGCATAGGACTCAATGACGCTGCAGCAATAAAAAAAAGACTATTTAGAGAATTCAATCGGCTTCCCTTACTAAAGAATGAAGGAGCCTGCTTGCTTGTTACATGCAGTAGGGTAAGAAGAAATGCAACAAACAATGAGCACATAAGTAGCATGAATGGATGTTTACTCACTCGTCTCTGTGAAGGAACCGTAGAATCTAGACCAATTCGATACCCAGCCGCTGCGGTACCTAGCAAAGAACTCCTCATCAGTCTGCCCCTTGTCCATGTTGGCATCCACTCCCATCTCCTCGACTTCCGCTGTCTCCAATTTTGTCTCCATGGAAGAGGAACTCATCGGCGACACCTCGTCCAGCGGCTCCTTGAACAGCTCGGGGAACGATGGAGATTTCGAGGTACCCTTGTAGGTAAGATGGCCCATCTGATCCAACTGGGTGTAGAGCTGATCCAACCCATTGAAGATTGCATTCAATCCGTAGTTGTAGTAGGTCCTCGACGCCTGCATCTCCGTTGCTGATTCGCCGCTGTCTTCGGTCCTAATCTGGATCCCTTTCACACCCATCTTTTCCGTGACTGGCTCTTTGCCCAGAATCTCCCTGTTCTGCACTTTGCCCATCATCTGGATCAAACTCGTCATGTTGGTGTACATGTTATCCATGTGAATTTTGTTCTCGCTAATGCTATAGTCGCTAATCCTCAGTTTTGGTTTGGGTTTCAGATTCACAGCGCTCTCAGAGATAAGATTGAGTAAGGAGTAGATCTTAGCCTGAACGACCTTTGTGGCTGAATGAGTCTCCGATGTTGTCACCACATGCTTCCTCGCCCGGATTTTTGTAGTATGCTCGAACGTCTGGCCATCAACACATCCCTCCCTCGAGATATACCGCTTGTCTCGAATAAGCAAGGACCAAGCAACAGTAACCTCCACCGTATGGGAGCCAAGATTACATGTGCGCCGACTTACTTTGCTTTCCTGGGCTGGAAAGAAGACACGACCACATGATTTGGGGGCACGTGATTTGTCGGCACTGATGATAACTTCCAGCCTTCCGTTTAACTCTACCGAAACAACATGCCTTGACAGATCAAGGTAACCATCTGAACTGTTAGCCATCACTTGATCTTGAAGTACAAGCTCTTCTTCAGGTTGCTCGGGTCTAACGGGCTTAGAAGTTCCCTTGGCAATGCAACTAACTCTACCATCATGTTTAAAAGGCCATTTCCTCTTCCTCCAATTAGTAACACGGACACTCACTATAGTTGCTTGGACTGTATTTTCCAATTTCGCACACCGTAACATAACTTTGCAGAAGTCCTTCGACAGAGTGGTCTCATTACCAGTGTAGTTGAAGGTCTGATGGATCAGCACTCTATCTTCTGACCTGCTTCTGCCCTTCACTTTCAGCTTGATTTCAAAGCCAACAGGATCTATAGAAACAACTGCACGAGACGGGCCACTCAACTGCAAACAAAGATCCTGCATTTCCCAACAATTACAATCAACAAAACAACAAAAGATGCAAGCAAAAGGAAGTAAAGAGAAACTGGGCGATTTTTTTTAGGATAAAATTAAATAAAACCTTTTGAGTCAGTATTTGGCAGTCACTGTAACGCCCCGAGACCGTTGTGCCAGGTGTCGTTCAGTTATTCGCTGATGTTGCCAGGTCATTTGCTTGTGTGTTGCATTTCATCATGTCATCATTTGCATTGCATCATGCCATCATATCATTAATTTTTAAAAACTCAACTAAATAAATTGTATGGATCTTCGATCCATTTAAATCGAGGGAAGGGTGACTTCTCTTTATAACATACCCTCCCGATATTTAGGGAGCTATAATAAAATATTCCATTGTTTTGGAATCACCTTAACACACTTGCAAAATATCCCAATGCCTTTATTATCTTAATTCTTGGTCTCCAACTCTGCCCATAAATTATTTCATCATTTTCCGGAGCTCCACCAAAAATCCGAACATTTTTGGATCTTCCCAAACCTCACTTCCTATTCAAATCATTTGAATTTAAATCAAATGAGTTTGAATTTAATCTTTCAATCATGCCTCTTTCTATTTTTCTTGGTACGAGCATATTTTTGTGAGTCCAAGGAAATTATCCCCGTGCCCAACTCTTTATCTAACCTTTCTTTTCTTCCCTTTTTCATTCTCTTTATTTTTCTGTTTTGCAAAGAGATTTAGAGAGAGAGAGAGAAAGAGCCCGGCTGGGCCTCCCCAGCCCAGCTGCAACCTGCCAAGTCGGCTCCATCCGCGCTGGACCGTTTGGCCCAAGGCCTCCCGCAGCCCACCTAAGCATCCTAAACCTAGCCCGACCGCACCCTAGGCCCCGACCCTCATCTCCCTCGCGCACCCTCTCTCGATCCCCAGCGCCGCCGCCATCTCCCTCGATCTCTCTTTCACGCGCGCTGCCATCCCTCTCCCCTCGACCCGATCCCCCGTTCTCTTCCTCCCCCTCGTCTCTCTCCCTCACCTTCTCCTCCACCGAGCTAACCAGAGGCCTCCTTGAGCGCTTCCTTGCCTGCAGCCACCAGGACGCCATGGATGCACCAACTCGACTCGATCCCGGCAACCTCGACCCTGCGCTGACTATCGCCTCTGCTCCGGTCGCCCTCGCGTCTCCAGGCCGCCGTCACGCACTCTACCTCCTCTGCCCCGAGCTCCAAGCGCCGCCCCATGACGCCCATGGCCCCGCCTCTCCTTCACGCAGCTCTGCACGCCGCCCCGCCTCCAAGTTCGTCGCCACCGACAGCAACAGCAACTACTGCACCCTCTCGTCGCCCGCGACCTCCTCCTCCTGGCTCTGCTCGGGTCTGCCGAGGCCCATCGCCTCTCGATCCGGCGACCTGCGCCCAGGTCGGCCCTCCTTCGCCCGGATCCCGCCGGACCAGCTTCCCGTGACCTCCTCTGCCTCCGATCCGGTCGCTCACCACCGCCTTTCCACGCTGCTCTAAGACACCAGGTCGGCCGCCCGCTCGCCCGTCGTTCTGCTTCGTTGGAGCAGAGAACCAGTGCCGCCCTTCATGCCCATCGCGCCGTGCTCGTTGCATGCCAAGTCAGTCCCGTGGATTTTGTCAAGAGTTCCACTTCGACCCGTGCACGCCTTGTGGATTCGCCGAGTACATCTACCGCCTTCTTCGGAATCACCAAGTACCACGACGTCCGTCGATCGCCAAGTTCCTCTTCGACCCGTGTACCACTACCGTCGCCGAAGACCTGTGTAACGGAACCGTCAAGTTCATCTACGAAACGAGTACCACTACTTCCCTCGACGACTCGAACCGCTCCGAAGATGCATGCTTCGAAGGTATAACGCCGAGAACGACCGCCGTGGAACGAATGCATGTGTGTTGTAAGAGATGCCCGCGTTTGCACCGTGTCCGGAAATTGTCGCGTGCATGTTTCACCTCGTTGCCATGCCACCATCTTGTGGGAACCCGGTATCCGGGATCACCCCACCTTCTATCGCATGTCACGCTCTCGTCACTTTTCCTTTTGCACCGGTATCTCTGTGAGCTACCGGAACCGATATGTTGCCATGGCATCATTTTCGGATATGTTGCCGTGGCACCATTTTTGTTTCGCCGCCGTGGCACCCTTTTGTTCCGCCATGGTGACCAAATGCTTCATAACATGCTCATGTCAACATTTTCTTAAAAAAATTTGCATAAAACTTGTATATGTCATCCGCATCATGATAACAACATTTAAAATGTTTAAAATTGTTGTTTGCTTTAAATTGCTAAATAACATGGGGATTTTCTGGATTTGTTGTTTATTATATCCGGCCCCATTTAAATTGTTTAGATGGTATAGTTTTGTTATGTTTCACCTCTTGCCATGTTAACCAACATTTAACTTTGTTGAGTACCTAACCGAGAGTGAACTAAATAATTGATGTGGTGTTCCGTCAATATGCAACTCGTTGCATATTGATCTCCACTTAATTTGTAGAACTGCTTGTGCACTTTGCCATGCCATGCTTCATTAAACCGGACATGCATCATACTCGATTGTGCATCGTGCCATGTTGTTGTGGTGGTTGTTTACTATGCCGTGTGCTTCTTTTCCGGTGTTTGCTTCTTCGGGTTGGTTCCGATAACGTCAGAGTTGTGAGGATCCGTTCATCTACGTCCGTTTGTCTTCTTCATGGACTCGTTCTTCTTCCTTGCGGGATTTCAGGCAAGATGATCATACCCTCGAAATCACTACTATCTTTGCTATGCTAGTTTGCTCGCTCTTTTGCTATGCCAATGCTACGATGCCTACCATTTGCTTGTCAGCCTCCCAAATTGCCATGTCAAACCTCTAACCCACCTTGTCCTAGCAAACCGTTGTTTGGCTGTGTTACCGCTTTGCTCAGCCCCTCTTATAGCGTTGTTAGTTGCAGGTGAAGATTGAAGTTTGTTCCTTGTTGGAACATGGAGATGTTGTTCCTTGTTGGAACATGTTTACTTGTTGGGATATCACAATATATCTTACTTAATTAATGCATCTA